GAAGAAAGGTTATAGAATCTTAGAATGAACAATGAGGGAATTGAGAGGATGGCCTGTAGTTAACAGAAGTTTGGTGTGAAAGATTTTAAATCCATGCTAAAGGCCACACCACATCAATATTCCGGTATTTTAAGGAAGAATGTAGCTTCAGACATTTGGTCTGCTCCTGCCTGCCTTCAGCTTCCACTGAAGCCCCAAGATTAACACTTGTCTAAACTCATTGGGCGAACAGAAGGAATAGGTAATCTACTAGGCAATGAACAGTTAAAAATGTAACTATAATTGTAAAAACTTAAACTATTAAAAAGCACTGAGAGCCTCAGGATGTATCACTAAAAACAATAAGATGCCTTTGGCACAAATGCACCCTGAAGGATGCTATGGAGATAGTTTCCATGAGGCAGAGAGGGATAGGCCAGAACCCCAGAAGAATGGGGAGATACCCTCACAGTGTTATCTCACTCTTCACCAGGGCCAATTAGCTTATTTCTTGTATTTATTTATACCCTGTCTATTCCTGAGTGTTGCAAGATGGGTAACAAAGATAAGTAATCAATTTCAGAAAACAAATCCAAAAACTTCTGTGAGGAAAAACCATTACAAATCCCACTCTGAAAACACAGCTCTCCACATTATATAACAATGCAGAAATCAGTCACTCAGTTTGGTTTTCTCTGGGAACAAAGTACATAACTTGGTAATGGGGGAATTTCCCGCTCTGTCCTTGTCATGGGCCAACTATTACTTGGTAAGCTTTAGACTCAGTGACACATGGAACATCTGCAAGAGTGGGGAAACTGCCCAAGGAGACTGATGGATCTAGAGCAGAGGTGTCAAACTTCTTTGTTATGAGGGCTGAATCTGACAGAAATGTCACTTTGTCGGGCCACGGCATGTGTGCTATAAAATGTAATATGAGGTACTGGAGATACAAACTTTATAAAGATGATTTCAGATGGCAAATGGCAATAGCAGGTGTGATAGGATTAGGTGTGATATGCAGAGGGATAGTAGGCATGGAGTTATCAGCACTGGTAATGAGACAGGAAACCTAGGTCTCAGTTTGGTACAGGAGGATCCAGTCCAGGAGGATGCAAAGAATAAATGGAAATAAGACTGAAGAAGTGAGCAGTGACTCATGGAAGCATGAAAGCAAATTTTGTTAGTCTTTACGGCACTACTGGACTCTTACCCTTTCTATTCCAATGTATTTGAAAAGGTGTGCCTTGCACACGAAAGCTCATACCTTGAATAAACCTTTGTTGGTCTTAAAGGTGCCATTGGACTCTAAATCCCCCCCCATTGCTATTAGAAACTACAACATTCAAAACCCAGTGGGGAGACATTTTAACCTTCCAGGACATTGAGTTGCTAATTTAAAGAGTAGGAATTATCTTACAAAGGAATTTGAAAGGGAGATTAGAAAGAGAGACTGCTGAATTGCAACGGATAATGAAGCTCAAGACAATGCATGCTCCTGGACTGAACTGAGATCTAGGTTTCTTTTCTCATCACCAATGCCTGCTATTGTCATTTGCCATCTGAAATCACTTCACTCTCCAAGACATAAGGACAGGTGGACTCACATTCTAGCTGTATCTGAAGAAGTGAGCAGTCACTCATAAAAGCTCATGTTACTCCTTAAGGTGCTACTGGACTCTTGCTCCCTTCCAGTAATAAAGAATGCAAGCTGTGCTATTAGGTTCCCCCCCCCCATCTGTTAGAAATGGAAAGGGCGATCTGGAATACCTGGAATAAAACATTGCTGGTCTTAAACACAGGACTCTCTCTCTCTCTCTGTTTTCAAGTTCAGAACCTGATTTCACACTGAATAGCCAAGTGCAGGGCAGGACCCTTCCACTTGCTGCTACCTGGTCTCAAGAGGTGCTGGCTCAGGTTTTAATATCTGGTTAGAGGAACTTGTCCAACTATGGGTCAAGGCTACCAAATTATAATTATAGGTATTTATGACAAAGTGATGGGGGCTGTGGTGGCTCAGAGGTTACCTTTTACTTATGACAAAGTGATAGAGCTGCTAAGCAAATTTGGGGAAAATATATGGAAACTTTGAAACAAAGACAGTTCATTAAGCACAACAAGAAGTACAGTCAAATGGTCAGAATAATTTTAAACACACAAATAGCACACCCAGAAAGATTGTTCATGGGTCAGTTTGGTGTAGTGGTTAAGAGTGTGGACTCTAATCTGGGAGAACTGGGTTTGATTCCCCATATATCCTGTATGTTACCTAAATCAAAACCGGCATAGGAAACTCCAAAAATTGGAGGCTGCTGAATGCAAAATCTAGTAACAGACTGGCAAAATACTAGTGGTGAATCTATCTGTACACAGCTAGAGCTCAGTTTAGAACCTACGTCTCTATTTTCCATTTTATCCTTATATCCCACCAGCTAGTTTGAGAATCAGTGACTCAAACTCAGTTAGTGAGCTTCATGGCAGAGTGGAGATTTGCACTTCGGTCTCCAAGATCCTACTCTGTCACTCTAAGCACTATGCATGTTGGTTCTAATTTTTTTGCATATCCTGTGGGGCTTTTTTTTTTAAAAAACAGTTTTCTCTTCTCCTTAAAACCAGCTACTTTCCTGCATTTTGTTGTTCATGGGCACTATGCATGTTGGTTCTAATTTTTTTGCGTATCCTGTGGGGCTTCTTTTAAAAAAACAGTTTGCATTTTGTTGTTCATGGGTTTTTTTTGTTTGTACTGATTTTCTTTTAGATTGTCAACTGTCCTGGGGATTGTGTTATATTTAAGTTTTTAAAAATAAACAGATGATGATAGACATTATTCTGGTTTCAGATTCAAGGGAATTGTGGAGGCAATCCATTATGTTTGATAAAATTATGAAATGTAGAAATGAGCGGTATCTGTTATGATCCACGGGGCTGTGATATTTAGAAATAATAGGTAATTCTTTAAAATAGAGGTTTAATCTAATTGTCACAGCATTTTATGGTATTTGTGAAACCTACAGAAGCTGTACTGGGAGTATGTGGACGTAATACTAAGATGATCTCAAGAGACAGCCAAATATAATGACCCTACATTCAAAGCAAATTACAGTAAATGCGAGAGGGATGTTTTCAAGAGCCATATTGAAGACAGCCCCCAAATAATCATTAGTTTTGAAGAAAATGTTCACAGAAGAATCTACAGTTTACACAAAATTATCTGAAGAGTTTATGACAGAGATTTGTCATGAGGATTCCTGTATAACACCTATCTTCCTAGCCACTCCAACTCTACTAGCTCTACAGCTATTGGTTAGCAGCAATATTTACTCCTCACCTATCAAGAAGGGCCACCTCTAGAGGTGGAGAATCTGAGCATTTGCCAAACCCTCAAAACTGGCAATGCTCTCACCATCAAACGACACTGCCACTCTCCCGTTGTTCCTATCCCATTCAGCACAGATACAGGCAATGTAAATAAACTTCTTACTTTGCATGTTCTGCCTATTTTTAAGTGGTCAGTTTAAGGGTTTTTTGCCCCAAAGCCCCTCCCCCCAATCCTGGCACTGGCATTTACATGAACCTTTGATTATCTGCTATAGATTTAGGAAATGTGCTAATTTTAGAAGATATCGGGCATGCATCTTAGAAAGATGAAGAGAGATGTGCATGATGACCACATGGTGGAACTGATGAATAATAGGAAAATAGGAAACGGGGGGGGGGAGTATGAGCAGGGCATAAATGGAAACATATCTGCATACACCACACGGAATCATATAATAAGCACATCAAAATCAAAGCCTGTTTCTGTTAATTCACTAATGGAGAGCCAGGCTAAATTTGTTTAATGAAATGTTCGTTTTGAATAGCTCACTCTGCTCCAGAGACTTCTATTGCAAGCCTACAGTACTTGATGAATTCTAATTGGATAATTGCATTCCACCTACCTGAAAGTCCATTCTTGTTTCTATTTCTCAGTAAACTTCTTGCTTTTGCTGCCTGCCTTGTATGCAAAAATGGTGGGGTTGGCAAGCACATGACAGTGAAGATGTAGCATTTCTTTCTCATAACTATGGTTATAGACACTGGTATTAGCCTTTGGGCTCACACATTTCTTCCCCTCCTTATCTCCCTCTCTATTTTTCCCTCTGCCAGTCAGTTTCCTTCTCTTTTCAACACTTACAATGTATAGCATTACAGCAGCATCTAACCATAGTTAGTTAACCAAGGTTTACAAACCAGGCTTCAAACCCTGATTGCAAACTCTCACTGAAATATGACCATGGTAGTATCAAACCTGATACAGGTGTAATGCTGTATCTGAGAGTCTTGGAAATGTGTTGTCTGCAGCAGACCAGGAGTAATGGGCTCCATTTAGCTTAGCCCATCACTGGTTGTTATAACCTGGCCTAGGAGAATCACTTAGCAGGCAGCATTATGTTACCCAGAAAAATATCAGCTATTCAGATGTTTCAAAACAAGTTTTCAAGAGTTCAGCCTTCATGTTAGGTTAGCCACTCCCCCAACCCTCCCCCCACAACCAGCAGATAGTAAATTGGTACATCTTTAAAGAGAAGACATGACTTAATTTATGAACTCAGATATCAAGTGCCTGGAAAAGGGCAGAAAGTGAGCACAAGAAATAAATTCATATGCGTAATTCTGTTTAGCCTTTCAGCTTTTGGTATGAATTTGGAGCCCAGGCTCTGGTGTGTATAGCTCACTATAATGTAATTTATTATAGCAGGCAAGTCACAGAGTTACGCTATTTTAGTGCAGGCTTCTGCAAGCATTAGCAAAAAGACAGAGAGAGGGCACTAAGTACCATATTGCAACAAATGGATTGCATAGCCAATTTACTGCCTCCATTTGAAAGTTCTCATTATGCTTCAGGCAGAAGGCATTCTGAAAAGCCTCTAGAAAGACTGCTCTCTTATTTTAACTCTACTGTTCTAAGGGGCTGCACATGTCAGTTTAGAGAAGCAGAGGCAGCAGGCGAGAGGGGCAGAAGTAGGGCAATTACTTACATTGGCAACCCTTGTTGTGCCAGTTATATCCCGGGAGACACTTATCACACATAGGCCCTGTAGTTCCCTCCTTACACTGACAAATTCCTTTTTCATTACAGCGATCACCGACTGAGCCAATAGGGTTACAATTACATTCTGCAGAAACAAGACAACATACATAAACTCCAGTGCAGGGGTACAAGGTCATAAGTAATTCATCACCAACATGGGTACCTAGTCAAGTTTTAACCATAAAGGAAGACTGCTGAATGATGGCAGAAGGGAAACTATTGCCTGTAATGCCACTTGTTCATTGGTTTTGTACCACTCTTGAGTAAGGATCTCAACCCAAAGTGGGACCCACCGGTGGCACCACCACAATAGAACAGCACAACAACTTTTTAAGAAGAACAGCAGTGGAAGGAAGAGTACAGGAATACATCTGTCTCTCTCTCTCTCATGCTTTCTTCTACACTTTCTCATCCTTCATGACTCCATGTTCTGGTTGGGATTTAAGGTAACAGTCTGGAAATGCCGAAGACTACTGGCATGTTCTTTGTTAATGACTCATTCTCATGGATGTGTAGGCAGAAAATGAACAGAAATGATGCAAAGAATGGAGTTGCCGTTATCTTCAGAAGAAACTGACTCTGACACAGGGTTCTATTTGGTCTTCCAAATGGTATTTAGATTGCATTAAGGAACATTAGGAAAGCTTGGTATTTCAAGAAACATTAACATACCATCAAGATAAAATGTGCATTAAATTATTAAAATAGTCATAACAGTCTGTACATGATGTGCACTGCTGTTTATTTTAAATGGCAATGTAAATGCACTTTGCTAATTTCTAAGGTAGTCTTCCTTTATGTTTATGAGCATTAGCTTAATTTATTCCTGGCATTTCAATGATGGGGTTTACAAATTTTATTTATTAACCATGCTAGCACGCCTTTTATCCTGTAATACCAAACTTGAAAGAGAACAATGTGTGGGGCATATGAACGACAGTGTCCTGGTGCCTAGATCAAGAATGACTTCATCCTAAGGCTGCCATTTTCCTTTGTATTACTGTGTCCGATGTTATGGGTGGAGATATGGAAAACAATGACACATGTACTTTGAACCTATGCTTTCTCCAGTGTGTTTCTGAATTAAAGGCTGGATTGATTATACTGGAATTACAGCCTGCCATCTCCTGGGGCAACCAGTCACTTCTGAAGCAGTCACCAGGAATCTCAGCACAGCTGCCTGGGGAAAGCATGGGGCTGCCCACTTACCTGTGGCTATAGTGGTGGGACCCAGGGATGCAATGAGAGTGGAGATGTGAGGCCAGGAGAGGACAGTGTGAGAGCAGAGAGAGGAGTCAGGTATAGGAAAGGAATTAAAACCTTCTTCCACCTTATTGTAGGAAGGGGAGTTGGAGCCAGTTCCCTGTGGAGGATGGAGATAACTGAATTCGGGGCAGAGAGGAGGTTATGCTAAGGGTGGCCGGATGAAGGCACCCTGGCACCACGTAAGGTAACTCAGGGCCAAGCTTCCTGCCAGGATGGGAGAAATGCACCAGGCAACTGAGTAATCTCAAGGCCAGCATCCTAAGGCTGCCATTTTCCTTTGTATTACTGTGTCCGATGTTATGGGTCTCCACCCATAACATATGGAAAACAATGACACATGTACCTTGAACCTATGCTTTCTCCAGTGTGTTTCTGAATTAAAGGCTGGATTGATTATACTGGAATTACAGCCTGCCATCTCCTGGGGCAACCAGTCACTTCTGAAGCAGTCACCAGGAATCTCAGCACAGCTGCCTGGGGAAAGCATGGGGCTGCCCACTTACCTGTGGCTATAGTGGTGGGACCCAGGGATGCAATGAGAGTGGAGATGTGAGGCCAGGAGAGGACAGTGTGAGAGCAGAGAGAGGAGTCAGGTATAGGAAAGGAATTAAAACCTTCTTCCACCTTATTGTAGGAAGGGGAGTTGGAGCCAGTTCCCTGTGGAGGATGGAGATAACTGAATTCAGGGCAGAGAGTAGGTTATGCTAAGGGTGGCCAGATGAAGGCACTCTAGCACCACGTAAGGTAACTCAGGGCCAAGCTTACTGCCAGGATAGGAGAAATGCACCAGGCAACTGAGTAATCTCAAGGCCAGCACCACTGGTAAGTAGAATGCCACCAAGACCCCCCTACCCTGCCAGGTGCCTTGAAGAAAGGTGGAAGTGACCCACACAGATCTGGGACAGACATAACAGATTCCTTCATTTTTTGTTTCTCTAGAAGATGTTTTCATCTGGTGTCCCTTTAGCTCCAAATCCCTGCTTAGCAGCTCGCTGGTGAGCCACACTGAGAAGAGGTTGGAGATGTTGTGAGCCAGGCTTGCTCCACTTGCCATTCCACCAAGTGGGCTTTTTTTCGTTCCCACAGAAAATGCTCCCTCTGTAAATCTTTACTTCTCAGATGGCAGTTTGGGTGCCAGAATTGGCTCAGGAACTGCTAACTGTGTATTCTAAATAGCTTAAAAATCAATTATAAGGTTTTTTTAAAAAATGTATGTCGGGGAAAAACAAAAAATGGAGACTAATAGTGTCTTCTCTAGGTCTCCCCCCCGCCTTGTTTATCTCTTGCTGTTAGCACTTCTGGAACGTCTTCCCTAAGGATCTGGTTTTGATTGCAGGTATACTGTTTTGATAGATTGGAGACTACAGGTTAATAATAACTTTGCTAACACCCCTGATGTCTATTGCTATCAGATGCAAAGACTGCAAGTCCTTCTTTTGAATTTGGAGACCATGCTGTGTGAGCAGTTCTCTTTTTCTTTTAATCATCCCATTTACATTTGTTCCCTGGAATTTCATTAAGAATCAGTGAGATCATAAATGACAAAACAGGAGGAGAGAAAAAACACATTGAGAATATTTTAACATTGCAATTTAGAAATAAAGTTTAAAGAGAAAATGTTATGAGTATCAAATGCGACATCTGTTGCTCAAGTCTTCAGTCACTACAAACTGCAGATGGCACTTTCAAGATGGGGTAAACTAAGGGCTATTGGAAGGAGTTTTGACAAAATATGTATTTTTGAATAACAGTCCAGTATTAATTAACAAAGTTCATAACAAAGTTGCTAAATCTACCGTGGAGCTCTCAACCACCTGATGACATCTTCAGCTAGGAATTTCTTTTTCAATAGAGTACGGACCTGTAGCTGCCCAAGATAAATAAATGTATTTAAAGGCAGACAGATACATACTAACATGAATATCTTATTAAAATAGGGGATCTGATAGTGCTGACTGTTTAACAAGATAGTCTTTGTCCAAGTCATTGGAAGTTTAGCATTATAGTGCATCTGTTAACTGAGCCACCTAAATGTTATTGCCGGAAAGAAACTATATGCCAAAGATGAATTAAAAACTGTACATGATATCCATAGGGCACTCAGTGTCAAAATATCCTTAACTTGTCAACAAATAAGATGGACAGTTAATGATTACACCATCAAATCTGATGAAGTTCACAAAACAACTTTTTGAACCTGGGGAACTTGTAATGTACTTTGACATTGACCATGATGGCTTGTATATGTGATGTACTTTGTGATTAATGGCTTGCATATGTGAATCTATGTTATATAGTGAACATTTTGGTATAATGATTTGATTCTCACATATTATAATTGTTTTTATCATCCGCTGTATTGGAATCCTTTTGTTATTGGTCTTGTTACATAGGGTACTCTATTGGGTGACAAGAGAACTCAGATACACCACAAGAAATTTACATAAGCCCCAAATGCCCATCAAGAGAGGATGCTGCTTTCTGCATCTCTGCATGATTACCTGTTCTGCCCTTTCCTTCCTCCAAGCAGCCTCATTTGATGGTTGGAAATTCTGACATATCACAATGCAGATATGTAGGAGAATAACAATGTCTTTAAACCAGTGGGTGTAGACTGTCCACATAAGACTGTACTGACACTGACCCTCAGAGCATAATATTTATTGGATTTCTGTATCAACCACTGCTGTCTCTTACCAGGAGGCATAGGCAATACAGAATTCATGTTGCTACAAGGCTTTTCTAAGAGGTAGGAAGATTTTATGCTTACAGGTTTAAAATAATTTTTTTCAGGTATGACAGTGCCTCCAGTTTTAATTGAGAAACTTGGGAAATGTTACAATATGGCACTGTTCAGAGCAAGGGTATAGTCAGGAACAAAATCCCCTATCAAAGGCAATGTGACAAGGGCTACTTAACGCTATGATTACAGAATACCAGGCCAAAGGAGATAAGCAACTGTGAATTCAAGCATATATACGAAATGCAAGATCCTCCAGCAAATCTCAAAACATTCATTATCTCTGGATATGTGTCAAAAACTCTGCCTGGAGAGTAATGCATGTCTGGGTTAGCCTGGGGCAAACTGGGTGGTAGATTTGTCAATTTTGGGATTGAACAGAAAACAGTGAACACTTTTCCTCTCCATTGCTCCATTTTTAGTGTTAGTGTTAGCACCAGATTTTTTTGTTTAGGATTATCAGTCTCAGAATAATAAATAACATAAAAGAAACTTTGAGAAACCCTGTTTGCATTTCTGCAGGCACATATGTATTGTTACAAAACTGCCATTCTTTCAGACGCAAAATAGATGCTGTGTGCTGTGATATAATATTACCTCCTTAAATTTCCTGTGTCTCAGAGACAATCAGTGTTTTCAGTTTCTAGTGTACTTAAGTGGGTGTAGACTCCTCCTCAGCCTGTGATCCAGTAGGGAAAACATTAGCATGTTTCCTGCCACTGTGATCAGTGAAGTTCAAAACCTTCCTCCAGCCTAAGAAGTCTTCCTCCAACTTAAGCGGCTCTTTGTCAGAGAAAGAACCACCTTTGTTGAAGGAAGTCGTCACAGGCTGAGTGGAGTGTAGGATACATGACAGTATCATGAACTGGGCTGTGCGGGGGTATAACCACAAAATGCTTGCAAATGTGATGGCCAGACAAAACGTGATGAAGATTACAATAGTTGCTGACAGTTCTATTTGTGCAGAATCTGTTTTACCCTAACATATTGTCCATGTCTGAAGATACATGTGGAAGATCAGGGCCATGGCTGCTCACACATGCAGTAAACTGACAGTGATGATGGCCTTTGGAACCAAT